AAGTGGTTTGGTGTGGCTGCTCCAAAAATTAGAGCGAGGACTGAGTAGACCATCATCCAACTATTGCCATAGGAAAGTAGAAGAACCTTGGAGATATAGATAAGCCCGCAAATCAAAAATCTTTATGAACTATGGATAAGAGGAAAACGAGTAGTATGCAAGAAGTGCTGCGATACGCGGTAGAGTCAAGCGTGTAAAAGAATTCAAGATTTCTTCTGTTAGACGGCACACGATCTAGAAACCACCCTTTTTGATGGGGAAAGACTTTAAGTTACACTTTTGGTGAACATTCAGAGCTGTAGTAGATAGGTCGATAGCGTAGATCTTAGTAAATCCCATTTGCGCTTATTTTATGGAAAGATCGTTTCACTGCAGTGTAGAAGGAACAATAAGATCGGATTTCACATACGTGGTGCACTTGGCTGGTTAATGTTTGACTTAGTAGTCTGCTGGCAGTAGATTCAATAGGGCGCCCGCGATCGACCAAGTGATCGCGTTGCCGCAACTCACATATGGAGTGCGATTTTTCTTATTTATTTCTGGGTTTTCTTTCAAAGAAACTCCGAGTACAGTAAAGTCATAGTGAAAGCGCTCGACGGGGGTAAAGCATAATTTAATTTTGAATGCTAAGGCGTCAGAACAGGGTCTTTTTCCAAAAAGCGACCACGCGCCGCAGTATTCAAAGATTACTATTTTCGACTGACTACTAACGCTCCTATGAAAAGTTCTTGTTTATCGAAATTAGTTGCTTCTCCATCCGTGCCATGCAACAGAAAAGAGCCGTTTTCAGTGAATATATTAATGGTGACATGTATCTTCTTGCAATAAAAGAGCCTAACAGTACACTGAGTTGGAAGTTATGCACTAAATCGAACTTGGAAGTAACCGTTTTAGAAACCATTGGCCTCTTTGAAAACTTTTGCGAATAGTTCTCTTGAGTTGATTTTGTCAGAGCTAGTGTTTGATAAGTTTTCTTGCTCGTTTCTATCATTAAATTCTCATTTTTCTAAGCAGTACCCAGGTCAATGAGCTAACAAAGTGATTGCTCGTGAACTCTGTCTTGAGTATTGGATCGTAAAGCGGTAAACAAACTGTACCTTTCTCATTAACATAATCCAACACTGGTTATCTACTAACCTCGTCACTAACTAAATATTCCAATAATTTTTTTTTCCAACAAACACGAGATTGTTACATGCCGATTTATCGAATGCGTATAGACGGTATAATACAGACGACTTACTTTTCGGCAGTTTTCGCCTTCTTTGAAGCCGTTTTGTTGTTTTCTAGTCCACTACATAATATGTAGATCAAAAGCACCGAGTCCCACATAAACGAGGTGTTTCGGAGGATTGCAGTTTTTTTTTATTCTTACACTCTCTCTTCAAAATGACTTGATTTTATTTGGTTGCTGTGCTTGTTCGATCTTATTTTATTTGGTTTTTCATGGCAGAAATCCACAACAGTAGGAAGGTGCATCAGGGACTTACGATTGCTCTGATGAAGACAAACTTTTTGACAACAGGAAAACGGAGACTGCGACCACTCTATGAATTCAGACTTCAACAATGAAGAAATGTGCCCAGTAATGCGCTGTCGTAGAGACGAACGGCATTGGTACATTACATAAATCGGAAGACTGACTTTCACCAAACTTTGGCTTGTTAGAAGTAAAGTAAAAAAGAAAAAAAAACCATTTCAAATCTAATCTTATTTAGAAGCTTGGGCAACATTGGTAGGTGTTTTTCAGTCGTAAACTTTATGACGATGTATAGAAAGTTTCTGTTCTATAGGATTTCTCACTAAGCTTTTGGTAATCATTCGAATGCTTGAATCCCGATAATTCTTTGAATCTTCGTTTCTCAACAGCACTGTGGCAGTAAAATTAAAAGTCAGTTCCACAGTTCACGCGATTCAACTCATTTTTCGCTGGGAATGAGCTTTTTTTCTAGACTATACTTACCATTTGATAGCTGAAGACTAGACATTTTTTACGACATACTTGCGTTTCAAAAAAGACTCTTTAATGTGCTGTAGCAGCTAGAAGAATACTGGCTTTCGCACTCGGTTCATTTTTTGTCTGATAGGTTCTGTTAGTGACTGTGTATCGGTCGCGCTGATTGATCGCGCAGGGAGATTATCGTGTGGAGTGTAATCTTTGTCACCAAAATTGAAACTTTTTTATTTTGGAAGAGCACAAAATTAAACATATGACTTCGATACTCCAAGGCTCACTCTACGTGTTCAATAGCCTCCCGTGCATGAGCTTAGACTTAGGCTCGTAGCGGGTTTATTTAACAACATATTACAAAACCGATTAGCCTAAGGCCACAGAACGATGGAGCAAACTTTCTTCTATATTAAATTAAAAAAAAACCTAAAGAACTCTGCGATGAAGGGCAACAAATTTCGATCAAACAGAAGAAATACACACGGTGACGAGCTGCGCATAAAGCGCAATTTTATTTTCACTGCTACTCTACAATGAGAAAGCCTTCTGAGATTAGATAAAGGTCTCTGATTAATGAGACTAAAGCTTCTGAATAATTACCGAGAGTTTGGTGAAAATCGTGAAGAAAATCCAGTGTGTCTCTTCAGTGTGAAAATACCTTTTCTTCTAATTCAATAATTGACATTTCGACAGCTTGATTTTTTCACAGCCGTGTTATCAAATATAAGATTTTTTCTGAAAACACAGCTTTAAGAAAGGCGAAGCTGCCGAAACTTGGATATCGATGCCGAAGGAGATATATGGATCTCGCACAAGCTCTGAATAAAGAATAGCTCTTGAGGTTTTGGGTAGAAATTCAATTCAAAGCAAATAGAGTCATATTTGTTCAATATGCTCATTGACACTCTCAAATTTGACACTGAGATACCTTAAATATCTTTATCTAAAGGAGATACTTGACCAGCCCTCAGATGTTAAGCAGCTTGTGCTTGCTATTGATTTGTGCTGTTTATTCCTATAATATAATCTCTGAAGAGAACCGTTCTCTTAAGCAAAAATGTGGTTCTCAGTTCCTCGGTAAGTTCGAAATCATTGTTTGCTAGAAGTGGGTGGTATTCACCCAAATGCTGATTTCACGATTCAATGTCAGATTTGAGTTCACAGGCAGAATGAGATATAGAAAACGATAGATGATACGATAGGTATAGGCTTTGTATGTTAGATTAAGTACAAAACTCAGCCGAATTTCAGAGCGTTGTGTTAGATCTATTGGTGGGAAAAAAGCTCGACAAAATGAATTCCCTTGGATTGCGGCACTGATTAAACACAGAGGTGGATTGAGATTATCGTGTTAGATGACGTCGTATAGAATGAGGTATCAAGCGCAGGAAATAGTAGGTCTATAAAAATATGAAGCAATATTGATTGGCTCACCCTTTCAGTTTTTGTTGATAAGAAACGAAGTTTATTTATGCGCCACTGTAGGGCTGACATACGATTAGTAAGTTATATCAAATGGATCTTGCTAATGATTATTTTAATGGATTGAGAAAAGTACTAACTCATGCTTTATGACGTCTATATGTTCATTAGTGATCTCTGTTGTTATCTCTAAGGCAGATATGTCGGTGTTGGCATATAGTGATTTCGTGTGCAGCGTGTCAAGCAATTCACATCAGAAGAGACTTTTTATGAAGGTGTCACTATCGAAATTGAACAAATACAGCTAACGGTTCTTTTCTGTTAGACGGCGACAAAAAAACGATCTCATTCGCTGGATAAAATTTTTTATAAGAATGTTAGTAATATGCGAAAGCCCAAATATCTGACTACTGCGCTACGGAGCCGTTTTTGAAAAAAAAAAAACCCTTTTGCAGCTCTCCAGCATGCAGGATAAAATTATCTTTCACACGCACTATCTCCTTTTTTATTTCACTTATTTTTTTGTTGGACAAATCTCTTTCCTCAGACTACTAGTGATCTTTTGATAGCTCAAGCCTCAAAGAATTCAAAAATGTCTATGCTTTTTGAAAAGCTCGTTAACAACGCTGCAACAGAAAAAAAATGTGTTGACACACGAGTTTTGTCGCACGGCTGAGCTTCACCTTCAAATCATGAGTATCCATGCGATAGCGCAAGTTTACAAATTTCACGGCCGTGCTTACTTACTGGAATGACCATTTTCCACACTGTAGCAAGGAAAATAAGTTGATTCACATACGCGGGCATTTGTTTTCTGGCCAATTCACGTGCTGGAGGATGGGGCAGGTGTGGCCGAGGTTTTAACACAACGATTGGTAAATGGCGCCTGGGCGGATCACATGTGATATGCGATTTTTGTTATTAAATTTGGAATTTTTTCTGTGCTTTCAAAAGCTCCAAATAAGACAAATAACTTTGATACTACAGGACTTCCTTCGCATGTTCAATTACTTTTCGTACTTCCAGCGAATCATACGCCTTAATAAAATTGAAGGCGCGTGGCGGATGTGGAAAATAATTTTGTTTTTATATGCTGCAGCGTTGTAAAAGGGTCTTTTCAGTAAAAGGCCACTTAGCGCAGCAACCAGGGATTCAAGATTTCGAATCAAACTGAAAGTTAATGGAAAGCATTTGTCTAACGAAGGGGGTCGTTTTTCATTTGTCACCGTTTAACAGAAAAGAACCCAACTTACTTTTTATAGTCAATAGTGTAGAGTGCTGTGCAAAAACATTTACGTCAGCCGGGATTCGAACCCAGATCTCACTCTTTCCGGGAGCCGTTGCTAACCGTTGCACCACCGACGCTCGTTTTGCACAGCACTCCGTTACGCTACAACTCGTTATCTGTCAACAGCCGTCTACGGTTTAATACCATACATCGAATACTGGGTACCATCATAACACCGCAAGTGGCGGTCAAATAAAATCATTTCTGATTGATTATTGATACCCAATATCTGTCAACAAAAGTGGTTCAATGTCGATGACGACTACCTCGGCAGACCGCAGACAGTTGGCAGCTGACAGATAACGCGTTGTAGCGTAGAAAGAGTGTTGTGCAAAACGAGCGTCGGTGGTGTGACGGTTAGCATACGCTCCCGGAAAGAGTGAAATCTGCGTTCGAATCCCGGTTGATGCAAGTGCTTTTGCACTGCACTCTACACTATTGGGTATATTGTACCACCATAACACCGCAAGTGACGGTCAAATAAAATCATTTCTGATTAATTTTTTATTGCAGTACTGTGGGACTATCCCCATTGGCAGGTAGAGAGAGGAATATGCAGTGGTACGCAAATCTCCCGGCGACATGTTGTGACAGCAGCTCATTGTGTGGTACGACTACATCAGCGTATAAAGCGATGTGATCAGAAAGCAATGCGCACAATTCCTAAACAGTAATTAGCAATGCTGATTAGTATATTCATCAATATTTCGCTTTCAAAATTATCTTTATTTCTGCATCCCTCAGACTGAGATATGTGGTGCTGAATAACGTAGATTTCACAATGCTCGCCGGAAGTCGTTGCACCAATCCTCAAGAATACTGGGCAGAGAGCACGCAATACAAACTATCCAAGGCAAGACATTGTTCTACATCTCTCGTAGAATGTCACCCAGCAGCATGCGAATCATGCAGCTTCTAGTAGTCCGTGATATTGTTGAGCGCACATCAACACCATAAGTATAATAATCTTTTAGATTCATATTCATCCTGATTACGAGCCCTGTCATTCCATAAACGACGTGGCTTTACTTGAAATCAGTGGAAATATTTCGGAGAAGGATGGATCGGCAATTTGTATGCCTTCAGAGAAGGAGGGTTGGAGTGGGAAACTGACAGCAGTAGGATTTGGAATAGATAGTAAGTAGACATGCTCATTCTTCTAGAGGTCCATTACTTATTCGTCTAGAAATCTTCTTACTGTGAAAAAATTACCTTACTGATCTTTCTCTATTGAAATGCTAATCAAAAGTCTTTTTCAAAAAAATTTCTTCGTTCTTTCTTCGGCCAGCACTTTTCCGCCATGGGAAACCGAGCTGCGATCAGTAGATTTTTATAACATCAAACATACTATAGGACGAATACTAACATTTGCAGTAGAAAAATCAGTCTGTTCGGTAAGCGATTCGAAATCAGACATCAACCTGCTTATTATTTCTTCCTTGCTTCCAGTAAATGTCAAAAATAGTGCACTAGTACTGTTTTGTAGGTCGACAGCGGTGGACCACTGGTGAAGCTCAATAATTCCAATCGCTATGTCCTCTTGGGTATAACTAGTGCATCGAGCCCAGCTTGCAACTCCAGGGGCCGATCAAGAAGTAGGTCCTCACGAATAATTGCCTCCACTAGATATTTACATATTTGTATATATGCCTTCGTGAGTCATGCGCTGTTTGTCTACATCGGTATGCACACTTGGTTGACATAGGCTGCAGAAGTGTTCCTACTGTTCTAAATTCATAATTCGGGTCTATATCACCGCTATTTTACCTACAAAGACAAGCGCTGAACTACACGGAGAAATTATTCATTTTGTAAATATGAAGAACAAGACCATTATGGTAGATTTCCATAACTTCAAGTAGTAGAGTTAGCATTTTCTCAAAATGAAGCATATTCAACTTGTTCAGTAATGTTGTTGTACAAAACCATCACCTGTAACCTGTATCACCTGCTGCCCCGTTGATCGTTGAGTGACTCGAGCGGGTACCAGCAGCACTTCCCTTTTTCCCCATCACGTGCAAGAGTAGCCCAGTGGATTTTAATCGCTCGAGGAATTCGCTGAGCATCATATTTTTCTTCTATACCTTTTGTGAAAAAATCGGCCAACGAGTCGGTGGTCTTCCTGTAGAACGCTTGATGTCCCGAGGTCCAGTCGGTAACGGCTCTCGTCCATTGGTTGTCGTTGAAGCGCATCACGTGTCCGGCTTACCTTATTTTCGATATCGTAGTGTGTAGAACGGCGTCTCTGATTTTCGACCGTTGACGTAGGTCGGAACTTCGGATCCTTTCTCTCACTTACGAATTACGGAATACTCCTAGCATCGACCTTACGACTGCGTGTTCAATAACGCCAAGTGAACTTTAATCCTGCTTACGTAGCGACCAGGTTTTGCTGGATACTTAGGGGCAGGGAGAATCGTTGAGTGGAAAGGATGGGCATGAAATCGGACGTTCTTCGTCTTTTCACTACATCCACAATGCTCTTAAGCGCTCTTCAAGCGCTCGTTTCCTCTTTCTCGGGAGCTACGGCGCTCATCATGCTGACTTCACGGCCTACATAGCCGTAATGGAGTATTCGGAAATGCTTGTTTCGTTGAGGATAAATGGTGCATCTAAAGCTCATCCATTCCTCTCTTTTTCGTTAGATCTATCGAAGACCAATTTTTCCATAGGCGTTGTCGAAATCGATCAACATTCGCTCTGCCTGGCTGATGTTTGCTGTTATAAGGGCGATGTCATCAGCGAAGCAAGGATGGTTCAATTGTCGATCCTCGATTTTAACTCCCCTATCGTCCAAATCTAATGTCCGCATGACGTTTTGGAGGGTGGTAATGAAGTGCCGTGTCGAATCCCTCTTCCGACGCTGATATTAATATCGTTATGAAATGATATTATGTTAGCTATGGAATCTTCGTATCATGTATAGCAACTCATGCAACATTCATTGCTATTTTTACATTATCTTCATCATTTTAGTGATAACATAACGAGTTCGACTGTTAAGATAAAGTTGGATGCGAGGGGCGGCGTTGTGCTATGGGAGGACTGGTGCGCAGCATGGACTGGAGTTTCGCAATCCATGGGCCGACGACGACGAGAGTCGAGCGCCTTCGACTGGTCCGTGCGGCCGCCGGGTTACGTTTCGTCTTCGTATTTGTTTCCTTCTCCCTTTAGCATACCGATCGCCTACAATTATTGTTTATGACTCGATGTGGCCCAGTTCAGTTGTCGTCTGCTGACTTTGTCCACAAGACGTAATTATGTTCACCACCTTGTACTTTGACTGATTGCTCGATGACGCTCTAGACATTGTGATTGCAAACCCAGGTCACGGAGACGTGCCCAGTGGTGGGGGTCGTGGACGACTCACCCCTAGGGATGGGTAGCGGGCTCGTGAGACGATCTCGAACATACAGTGTGAGACTTTATGACTTATGACGACTATGATACTCACACATCGTCGAACCGGCATACCGCCCTGGGGTTTCGTAATTCCGAGGCGACTACGATAGCTTCCCTGGTTCCCCCGTCTCCTGATTGACGTTTACAAACCTTCTAAGTTAAATATAGTCAACTCTGGCTCTTTGTCCTCATGTATTCGACCCACACTGACATACTACTCATGTTACGAAATAGCTACTGGTCGAGCTACTACGATGTATCGATTCAACGACTATTGCGAAATATGCCCTTTTGCGCCGCCAATTGGATTGGTTGGCGGATATGAATGTATTATATGTAATTATTGTTTATTATAGGTTGTTTTCTATTAGCGATTTATTCTGGCTATTATTCCTAATAAATTAATCCGCGTGGCAGGTATACTAACACATAGCATTCGACGGGGCATTCACTACTGCAACCACTACATCATGAAGCATCGCTATGCGGGGTAGGGAAGCTCTGGATGTCCAAAGGCTCCATAAGCGCTTCTGTTCCCACTGGATCAGAGGCTTTCTACAAGCAGACAAAAGTGTGACAGAACAGTAGTTCGTCTTTCGTAAAACTTCAATGAGTCTTGTGATCATGGGGATGTGATCTATGGTATTAAACCCTTTTCGGAACCCTGCTTTATCGCATGGTTTTCCTTCGTTCTATGTTCTGCCAATCGTGTTTAGAATGACTCGACTGAGGAGTTTATAGACAACAGACAGCAAGCAGATTCGGCGGCAACTGCCTGTGTCGTGAAGGTCTAGCTTTTAAACATTAACACAGTCTTGCTGGTTTTCCACTGACTGGAAGCCTTCCATTTTGACAAGCAGCGAGTAAAGAGCTGAACCCCGATGTTCATGAGAGCTGTCATTAGGTTCTTCAGCTGCTCTAATTCAATCCTATCTGGATTAGGTGTTGTTCTACTCTTCACCAACGACATAGCGTGTTCGATTTTGAAAGGGCGAGCAGCTGGAAACAGAGATTCATCCTGTTCGAATTTTTTTATTGTGGTAAGAGGACTTTGCTATGAAGAGATCCAAGTTGCAAATGTTGATGATTCACTCCATTCCCCTTTTGGAGGCTGTAAGTGTGACGACACAGCGTCGGAGTCCAATCATCTTGGTCTTATGATTAGCGGAGCTTTGATGGGTTTTGCAAATGCTCTCCCCAGCTCCTCCAGCTTCTGCTAAAAAACGTAGAGAAAAAAAATCATAGCACCATATAATCACTTCAGTACTAACGTCTGTCTTTTTTGTGATGTCAATTAAGAGATAAAGGATAAAGCTCTCGACGTCGATCAATTTATAAGGGATGCGTCATGCATTTGTCTTCAGCTTTTTAAATTTCGTTCACGGTAATTAAATGCATATTTGGTCCATACAATGACTCGCGCTGGCCTCCCGCTGTACCTCGTCAGTGCTGCTTATCCTCCTAGACAAATTTGAGACCAGTCCCGTACCACCCGGAGGAATTGATGGTTTGGTGAGGAATGAGTGCAAGATCTACCTCGTGTGCGACGCAGAGCAGCTCAACCACTGCACCCCATGTGCTCCTTACTGTCAAAGACCTTTCAGGTAACCACCCTTAGAAAATGCCCTTTTTCATACTGTCAATAACCAACCATCTATGAAAAATGGCCTTTTTGGCGATCAATAAAAAAATGGTTGCGTCATCCTTCGATCTAATCGGATATGTAAGAGATGCTTCTGATTACCAAACTCCTTATATACATTTGAGCTCACTCAGCCTTGCACATACGCTGCGTATATCTGATACAACATCGCGCTTGCTTTCAAAAGCGCTAGTTATAGTTATAAAATAATATCACCATTGAAACTCAGGAATTATGTAGTAATGTGGAGTGAGGAGTTGCTGCTTCAGATTTCATAAGCTACTTCGAAAAAGTCACATATCATCTCAAATGGATTTGTGAGCACTCAGGTGTGATGATCCGTTCTGTTCATCTATGAATTTCGTCC